ATCACTATATACAACTAGAGCGTGACTCTTGGATTGCAACAGTACAGGTGCTACCTTGCTCAATGAAGTCCCATTCGCCTGGAGGCAATCAGCATCTCTTTGGCCTAAGTTGGGTTCTACATACTACACGTGAAATTTTTTTTTCCATTTTAATTCACCTAACCCACTGTACATTACTATATTATTAACATTGCAGGAAACCTACACTATATAGTGCAAGGGGACAGGGATTGGATTTTTAGAGGTTTAGGTCCTTGAGATCATTGACAGTAAAAGAGATTAAATCTCCAGGGACTCACAGTGTTTAAGCCACAGGTCTGAGAAAGACCTCTTAGCAGATCGAAATGTTGCTCTGCCTTTTTGAGCCAATTAATCTGGCTGTGGCTTAAACACTGTGAGTCGCTGGAGATTTTTTCTCTTTTACTGTTATACCTACACTGGATTTTCTGATCCTGCTTTAGTACACCCAGTGTCAAGAAGACTTGAGTGCGGTTTATGTTTTAAATCCCAGCAATCTTGTTATGGGCAAATGCAAATATTACAAGTTTTAGAATGAAATGTTGTATTTCTTAAACTGTGTACTTTGTCTTTAAGAGATATTGCAAATTGACAAGGTGTTAGAAATGGAACATATTGTTAATCATAACTGTTTCTTTAAGCAATAACTTCAGTGCATAATATGTTTGCGCCATTTTGTCCCAGACGAATTACAATAACAATAATGCATAAACAAGCTTCAAGGCTATACTACGACTCTTTCAGTACACAATATACTGTGGTAACCCCAAGTTAATGGAACTTCCCCAAATCCGGGAATCTCCCACAACTGTGCACTTACGACTTAGTATAAACAACAGATAACCTATTCAGACTTTAAGATGCCATCTTGAACTAAGTCAGGAAAATTTCCATGACGTTTGCACCCTTTAGTTATGGCCTTGTATGTTTGCCAAATTAAGGGAGGTCCTAAAATGAATAAAGTAAAAGTGTTACTTTTTCACATATGAACTACGGTAACCCAAAAATGGAGACAAATAAGGTATACATAGGTGTAATTTTAAATGTTAAGACACAGAGGAGAGACTTGGAGACAGACGCTGCTCCATCTTAAAATGACAGAGAGGCTGACATGATGACATGTTCAGAAGGGTATGTTAACCTATTAATGATATTTGCAAGCATGTAATTTAATCTTATAAACTCTGCTATAATGGATTTTATATTTTTATATAATAAATATCCAAAAAGACAAAACTATTGCTTCCAAGACAATCCTTATTTTATATTGTATTCTCAATTATTTATATATGTTAAATAGAGGATCTATTACTAACTATATAAAATTATGGCTAAGATATCTGTATGGTTAGCCCTACTAAGTTCTATGCTTTAAGACATTATAGTGGTAAATAAGGGAACCACATGCGGTTACAATCTGAGTTCAAGAAGCTCTGTCACGTCTAGTGTCTTTTCCACTAGCAGTGCAGTTGCCGCAGGGTGCAGGGGTAGGTGAATTACACTTATTTGAACCTGTCCCTCGCAGCTGCCTTTCTCTTCCTGATGTTCGTCTTCGTCTCTCGGTGCTTCAGCTTCCAGGAGCACACACTATCATTATTCTCTTGTGCATTTATATGCTGCCTGTGCCTACAATTATGTATTGCCTGTAGAAGGACCCTGTTGTGGTTCATGGTTTTGGATAAATTAGTTTGCGCAATTCAAAAGGTTTCACATTAACTACTGTGTTAAGGTTTTAGGAGAACCAAGATGGCTGCCGACTATGTGATTCAAAGAGCATCAAGATGGCCACCAGTCATGTGTCCTGGTGTAACCTTGTTACACTAACAATAGACATCACCTAGTTACACTAACAATAGAGTTAATGGAAGCCCTCATATATTTGCAAGCATTCAACACCAACCCTTTTATTTTGTACAGCTATAATTTTAGATTATTAGCTGCATAAAGTATTTCAGCAGAGTTATAGCCAAACGTAAAGACCAAATGACAATCACTCACAGTGCAGCAAAAGATAATGTTTAATAAAAATGTTAAATAAAATATAACAAGTATTAATAAACATGTTCTAGCTAAGCACTTGTAATACTAACTAGATAATTATCCTTTGTATTACTAATTGTATATTTCACACGATTGCAGTTAAAACATATCAAACGCTATCCAAGCAACTTAAGCAAAACACAAGTATAAGAGCAATAACAAAATTGAAACTGAGATCTTGGTTTCTGCTGCTCTGGATAGATCAAACTTTATTTCCCAGGATAAATAATATGGGCCTAGAGCACATCCTTGCAGCCTTGAAAAAAATTAGTACGGCTGCCTGTGCCCCTGTGCTGCTATATCGCTGCTATCCCTAATGAACTTCTAAACTGAAGGGGGAACCTATTGCCCCACCCCCTGGGCCCTCAACCCTGATTGGCGGGGCAAAGCTTTATAAGCCATCCCCCGCCCTGCAGAGCTCAGTCTCAGTCCTCCATGGGTGAAGATGGATTATTTATTTTTTGCAAACCGAACCGAACCGAAGAAACGAATTGCCGAAGTCCCGAATTTCGGAATGCCGAACTGAACTGAAGATTTTTGCCAATGCACATCCCTAGCAGCCGTGCTAGTTACTGTGAGGTCCTGAGGACCCGTGTTCATATTTTTGAGGATCATTCTCTGGCTATATAGGGGACATTGAGATTTCTAGTAAATTGTTTAATATTTTTTATTTGTGTTTTTTTTTAAACAGTTTATTTTATTTTTGAAAATATATATATATTTTTTTTCATGTTGAAGCAGACAGCGATATTTGATGCTGTCTACTGCAATACTACCAGAGTTATTCACTAAAGTGAGAATCCAAAGTGAATTATAAATGAATTCCATATTTTAGGCCAAAGTAGCAAAACTGGTAGCATAACTGACTAAGAGAATTTTTCCAATACAAATTATTTTAATATATTTTATGCAATTTTTGTGCACTTTCAAATAAAGCACTTTATTTTCTGCTACACCTTGAGAGGACATCCTATCATTTGGGCACCCCAGACAGTAGCAAGAAGGAAGTGGGTCCCTTTAGTACCCAAAAAAGCTTCATCTTTGAGCCTTTCTAGTGGCTCTGTGTTTGTGAGTGCTTTATCACTTATATACTGCACTGATATATTGTGGACTGGCTATATTGCACTATTTCTCTTCTTATTTATGTTTTACTTTAGGGAACTACTAAAGGACATCATTTTATTTCATCTATCATTAGAAGAATTATTGCTTACATACTCCACCTTATATTGTATGTATATTTCTATGTTTATGTGGGGATAAAGGGAATACCCACATAAGGTGTGCGAGTATTTGTCATATTTGGTGTTACTCATTGGGATATTGCCCCACAGCGATTTTTAGTGTCAGTAAAATGACTGACAAGGGGAAGCAAAAAAGACCTCCAATGGGAGCTTCCTCTGCTCTCCTCCCATAGCAACCACAATACATGTGCTGAGGTTGTGAAGTGCCAGCTAGGGAGTAGAGGAACGGAGCGACATGACATCACTCCGTTCCGACACCAACACGATCACAATGAAACCACTGTGTTGACGTCACTGACAATATTTGCAAGGCAAATCAAAGAATAACAGAGGCGGAGAAGAGGAGTGGATGAGGGTCTGGAGGTCGGTGTTACACAAAGAGTAACATCCACGAAACATGAAGATGGTGCTACTGGAATGAAGGAAAAGTGATAAAATCTTTATATTTCACATGGAATACACCATGTATCTTTGTGATATATGGTATATTCAATGTATATGGCAGTTATTTAAAGTATCACTATAGGGTCAGGAACACAAACATGTATTCCTGACCCTATAGTGTTAACACCACCATCTAGCCCCCCTGGGCCCCTCGTGCCTCCATAAATATAGTAAATATCATACTGTATTCAAGCCTGAAGTTGTAAATCTGCATGCTGTTAGACTCAGAAAAACAAGCAGTCTGCTGACATCATCAGAAGTTGTAGCCTGATCCATTCACAATGCTTCCCCATAGGATTGGCTGAGACTGACAAGGAGGCAGATCAGGGGCAGAGCCAGCATGATTCAAACACAGCCCTGGCCAATCAGCATCTCCTCATAGAGATGAATTGAATCAATGAATCTCTATGAGGAAAGTTCAGTGTCTGCATGCAGAGAGAGGAGATACTGAATCACAGGATGCTGTGCACAGGGTGCCCTGTGCTCTGCTGACAGCAGATCTGAGTGGATGGAGGCATATTATGCCTCCATCAACTCGGAAGTCCCTCTGGTTTACTCTGAGTGACTGTAACTGGAGGTGTTCCTAGCTTTCAATGTAAACTGTATTTTCTCTGAAAATACAGTGTTTACATGAGAGAGGCTGCAGGGAGCTATAGTTTTCACCTGAACAACCTCATTAAAGGACCACTATAGGCACCCAGACCACCTCAGCTTAATGAAGTGGTCTGGGTGCCAGGTCCAGCTAGGGTTAACCCTTTTTTCTATAAACATAGCAGTTTCAGAGCCCAGCCCCCTAGAGCCCGGCGGGAGGGGGGCCCTGAGGGTGGGGGCGCCCTCAGGGCACTATAGTGCCAGGAAAACGAGTATGAAACTGAAATTGTTCAGGTGACTACAGTGTCCCTTTAAGGTAAGTTAAATTGTTAATTACAGGTTCACTTTAAACAGAAAGAGGGAGATTGTAGAATGGACACAGTGTGGATTACAAACACTTAGCTTCACAAAAAAAACCCCAACAAGTTAGAGAATGTTGCCAGTCCTTTTTTCACCTTCCATTATAAATCCACTTTAATTCCTCACTTTAGTAAATAAAGCAAACTTTTTTTTTCTTCTCCCAGCGATATTCGCTGGCAATACCCAGCCACCCCCTGAACAAACTCTGTACTACACAAAGCACACAGCCAACACGCCCCGCCCCATTCACCCAATCTCTCTCTGTCAGTCAGCAGCGCCGAGCCTTTTAACAAGTCACGTGGTCTCAAGTCAGTTTCCAGGAAGGCCACGCCCCCCACGCCCGCACCACATGACCGGGCGGGGGGGGCGGGGGTGGAGGGGGAAGTGGTTCTCTAATTGACGTCACGAGCGGAAGGTCAGGGTTGCCTCAGTAGAGGAAGTGAGAGTGCGAGGCCCTGTCCGCCATTGTGGAGAAGAGCGAGCCCCGTCCAGAGCAAAGAGTCAGAGCCGGGCACGGGGGGGGCGGCGCGAGGTGAGCCATAGAAGAGGCCGCGGCGGGCCCACCGGACACACAAGCCTTCCTCTGTCGGTGTACCGGGGGGGTGGGAGGAGGACAGAGCGGCCGCGGGATCCTATCGGTGGGGGAACCTCCCGAGCTCCGAATTAGCGCTCTAACCCGCCGTGCCCGCGCGCCACCCGCAGCCGGACACCCTGCGTCACCCTGCGTCACTCTCCGCGCTGTGAGCAGTATTCCCAGTGCCCATAGACAGCGCCAGCAAGGGAGGACCTCACGGCGGCCCCCCACCACCACCACCATCTCTGGCTGTGCGGGAGAATGTCTGCGACCAGCGTGGATCAGGTAAGCACCCCGGGGGGCCCAGGCCGGCCCACACTGCGGGGCCACATCCTGCCGGCTCTGCGTGCCACATGTAAACAACTTGCTGCTCAGCTCCATGGTAATTGCATGTTGTCCTGGATCTGGGGAAGCCAAACATAGATCAGCAGATGTGGAGTATTACACCCCCACTCCCATGGTGGCTTTACAAGTTAAAATCTGGCAAGCCATCCATGTGAGGGATAAACATATGGGGACCTAGCTTTGATTTTAGCCTGATTTTTAGATATGGTATGTCCCCCCTCCCCCTTAGTTGGTTCATGATGCTTTTATTAGCCATAGCCTTGTAGTTTGGCAATATCTGGGGATCTACACTGAGCCCATCCTGCTCTTATCCAGTTTCTGTGTCTGGTACACTTCCTCGTAGTTGTCCATTCAATTTTTGTTTTTAAGGTTTAGGTTAATTTTAGTTTGGAAGCTGTACGTGCAGAATGTGACCACCTTGTAGCTTAAGAAAAAAAAAATAATTATCGAAGTATAGTTTAGTTTAGTTATTTTATTTGCTGCAGTGCTACCATGGTATTTTGAGTTATGATCGATGAATTTTTCTTAGCCAAATATGGACTCTCCTGTTTCAGACTTTTTTTTTACACTCAAATGTGTTTTGTGGCTTACTGTCTGCGTGGTAAATATGCATTTTTCTTTTTTGGTAGTCTTGTCAGTTCTGAAATACTAAAATCTATGATTGCATGTCATTGTATATTAGATCCTCCTGTCCGTGCTAATGCTTGCATAGGAAAGTCCCAAAAATGCACATGGTGAATTTTCCCCTTCTAAATGTACCAATATCTGTTATGATTCATATGAATGAAATTCATATGATTTTTATACATGAAGAAAATCGTGGGTGAGTTCAACAAGTGCGTACACCAGTTAGTGGAAAAAATATATTGTTTATTGGTGCTAATGTGTTGGGCACCATTGAGCTTCTTTTTGGTTGGGCCTGAGTTGCCTGCGGTTTGTGGAAAAGTGCTATGGAATATTATGCTGCATATAAATAGTTGACTGTCAAATACGTTAATCAGTCTTTAGACTTTCAACCTATAGGTCAAAAAAAATTCTGGTCCCCTGCCAGTACTCTATCATCCAAAATACTACTTCATGGTTTTAGTTTGTGAACAGTTTCATGATTCTGATATCTGTATTATTGATCAATCGATATAATTTTATTAAGGGCTGATGCGGCTTATTGCTGGCCTTCCATACTGATGACAGATAACTGGTATCAATATTCAGCCAGTGATGAGTGGCACACTGGGTACCACTTACATTGTAAAGAAGACACCGCACATGCTATCTTCTGTTTCTGGCAGATCAACTCTTGAGTTGAAGAGAGTAGCTGAAGATGGCCTGCGCTGGGCCTCTACTGATGCCGGCATTATCTGCAATATCTTTATCATTCTAGGCAGACACAGATATTTGCTGTAATGCTGAATACCGGCCAGACCGATAATCAGTCGATCCCTAATCTGTATTTAACCATGTTGTAGTACAGTATTGGAGTGTCCAAAATGAAGATCCACAAACTGTTTCTTAACTACAATTTCACTGATGCTTTGCCAACTGTAAGGCAAAGCATCATAGAAGTTGTAGTTGAATAGCTGTGAATCTGCAATTTAGCCACCTGCAGTTTTGTTTTTTTGAACAGTAAGTGATATTAAATGTGTGTTTGTAAACAAATACTTTTTTTTTAAATGGATGACAGAGGCTTATATTATGAAAATTGTGTTGTATCTCCTGTAAGCCTATTGGTAATACACCATCATTACATCTATAAAGCAGTCACGAGAGAGATGTTTAGTTAAAATACAAACTCTCTCATTTTTATATAACAAATGTTAACCTGGTGGATTGGCATTTGTGTATGCAATAGCTATCTGAATTATTTTGTTTTTCAAAGTGTATTCTGTAAATCTAGTAATTTTTTTTTTCTCTTTTCCACGTTGTTGCAGAGACCTAAAGGACAGGGAAATAAAGGTAAGTTTTATTTTGCTTCTTGAATGTATATCTCAGTGATCACTTTAGCATTCAAATATCAGAATTTTATTTTCAATGATGAAACAGAGTAAAGGTAGACAGAACATTGATGGGCAAACGAACGGACAATCCATGTGTTAATGAATTAGAACTCCTGTGGTATTCCACACGCCTGTACTCTACTACTCCCGTGATTCATTGTCAACTAATGGTTAAATTAGTACTTGCTCACCAGAAGTCACTTGTGCAAGTGTGTAACTAAAACAATAGTTTTAAATGAAGTTTAAACTGGGTTAACATTGGGGATTGGTGGAATTTGAATGTCTTGGGTTGAGTGCTCGCCGCTTTAAGCCCAGTTGTGATTAATACAACTTATACAGGTATCTGGTATCCATTATTCTATTCAACCCACCATCTCCGTTTTTTTGGCTTATTTACCAACTGCTTGAAGCCCATTGTGGAAAATTGTCAACAGAATTGCTAATATTAGACCCAAACAGCAGACTTGAAAACCTTCACCAACTCCGCCATATTAAAATATGCATTTCCTTTCTCAGATCTCCATAAATCCCACTTTTATAAATAAACGCATTAATATTATTATTTTTGGCATTTATCTAGCGCCAACATATTCCGCATTTCTTTTCAATATTATAAAATGGGGAAATCTTAACAATAAATTACATACAAAATGTTATAGGAACATTGGGATGGTGACGCTGCTCAAACGCACTTACATGAAGAGTCCACAAACTATTAAACCCTTTTCTTGAAAATGTACCATATTTCGGTTTCTCTTATCGGCATTCTTACATCTGAAATTAATTTGAACTATAAAAAGCATGTTAGTTACCTACCAAAAATAAAATAAAAAATCAGCTGTATTAAAATTCTAAAATAACTAGCTTCATGTGTTTCTCCAATTAAAATCATCTAGTTAAAAATGCTAACAAAATAATTAAAATAAGTGTGATGGTAATACTAACTAATAAATATATCTATTTCTCTATCTATATATCTATCTATAAACTGCATGTTTTTTGTAGAAAAACATTCTGGTAAGCATTAAAGGGACACTCTAGAAGCCATTACCACTGCAGTGCATTGTAGTGGGAATGGTGCCAGGAGTCTCCTAACACTCTGTCAGCAATCTTTCAAACTTCTTTTAAATTTTTGGCACTTACCTTGCTGTGTGCATATGGTCCTTCCAATCTGAGTTGATAAAGCAGAAGTTCATATTTCTCATTATCAACCAGCTAAGATGGGAACGGCTGTGGTTGGCATACACAGCAAGCTAAGAGTCAGACTGTTTGTAAATGGTTTGCCAAATCACTGGCAGATGGTGCATGCTGGTACCATAACCACTACAGTGTGGTTGTCCCATTAATTTACATTGCAGTGGTTTGTTTTTGTAGTGGTGCATATATTGTACTTAAAAAAGTACACAAATTGTTATAGCTGTATATATATTTTTTTTTTCCCAGTTGCAGTACAGAACGGTTCAATGCATCAAAAGGATGCAGTAAACGATGATGACTTTGAGCCATATCTAAGTAGCCAGACTAATCAGGTAGGTGATGAATTTGTTATTCACTTAAGAAATGTATGTTTTCCGTTAATCTGTCGAATTACTTTCGCTTAATATTCTTGGCAGTTATATTAGTATATGAACAATGTATGTTCAATCAGCAATTGTTGTCCCCCTCCAAGTCTAAAGCCATATAGCTTGAAAAATGCTTTCTATGAGAAGCTCCCATATGTGCTGTTTGAGTAATGCTTCCTATAAGGAGTACCCTCATTAGTTTTCAGCAATCCAACTTGGAAATGAAAAACAGTCTGCATTTATTTGTCAATGTCATTTGCAGTAGCTGGTGTCATGTTACTTGCAGTTAATTTTCCATCTCCATGTGTAAAACAAGACTAAACTGTGTTTTTCTTTGACTGTAAAATAAAAATGAATTATTAATGTTTGCTCTGAGTGAACCTCCTTTTGAAAGTGTGTATTGTAATGAAAAATTTATCACATTAGTAATTGATTTAATTTTTTCTTAACACAAATGGAACTGTCACACAGTTTGATTGAAGGGTAGGGTATCGATGTATGCTACAAGTGTCCCTGTATTTAGATAACTGGACGCTATCTAATCTGTTAAATTCATAGTGATAAATATAAGATATAGTTACCATGGGGTGTTCAACTGTGTTATCATATATTTAATATATAAGTACTGCTTTATTTTTTTCTTCTTTGTATTCCACTTGAAGTGCAGTACAAAGGCCTAGGAACTTAAATACAGACTTTAGTTACCAGAAGCACTACAAATTGATGTAGTGGTTGTGGTGTCTGTAGCCTCTCCCTGCAGGCTTGTCAATGTAAACTCTGCCATTTTCAGAGAAAAGGCAGTATTTATATTGGTGTCTAGTAACCACCTATAATTGCAGTCAATCAGACTGATACTAGAGGTGCTTCCTAGTCACTGCAGCACTGGTGTTCAGCACCTCCATGCTCTGAACATTTCCGTTAGAGATGCATTGATTCAATATATTTCTAAGTGGAGATGCTTATTGGTGCAGTGTGGCGTTTTGCTGCAATAGCCTCCCAGTGCATTTCCTGCAAGATTAGAGGCAGTGCACTACAACAAATTTTTATTCCTGAATGCTTGTCCCAGGCTCCTCCTCCTATAGGTATAAAACCACCTGGAATCCCCCAAACCCCAGTTCTCTGCCTGCCTTCGGAAGGGTAGGATGCAACTTACGGGGACAAGGTGAGATGGTAGACTCCATGGAGGGCTCTGTCTGTCGGATTCCTGTGACAAATTCTGTTTTTTTTTTTTTTTTTTCTGGTGGAACACAAACCGGGCGTCGGTGTTCCACTGGGCTTTATACCGCCTATCATCCTAGCCAGGTGCTGGAGATGGCGAAAATGCGATTTGCGCATGTGCTGGGAAGTCCTGCAGATGTAACACAGGTTGTGTTGCGTTCCATCTAGAGATCGTGGAACGCTCTGCGCATGCACAAACCGATCTCTTATAAATCAGGCGCAAAATTTGAAAAGACTCACTTCCAGGACCTGGGAACTAAATTACCCAGCAGCAACTCCCTGCTTGCAAGGTGCTCGCAATCCCGCCCTCCAGCACACTCAGAGGCCATTAAGGTAAGACTGCTCTAGTTTTCTCCTTAATGCCTCTTGCCTGATTAAATTCTATTTTATTATAGATTTTTTTTTTTTCCTCTTCTAGAATGTCTAACTTAGAGCAAAAAGATAAACCTGGAGAAAAGGGGAAAAGCTTAGCCAAAACAAAGCATCTGATGTGTGCCACTTGTTCCCAGCCTTTACCAGGTGGCTTCAAATAGAAAACATGTGGCAATTGCTGTAAAGAGGCTTCATCAGTGGAAGCTGTAAAGAGGCTTCATCAGAGGAAGCTGTAAAGAGGCTTCATCAGAGGAAGCTGTAAAGAGGCTTCATCAGAGGAAGCTGTAAAGAGGCTTCATCAGAGGAAGCTGTAAAGAGGCTTCATCAGAGGAAGCTGTAAAGAGGCTTCATCAGAGGAAGCTGTAAAGAGGCTTCATCAGAGGAAGCTGTAAAGAGGCTTCATCAGAGGAAGCTGTAAAGAGGCTTCATCAGAGGAAGCTGTAAAGAGGCTTCATCAGAGGAAGCTGTAAAGACGGAAGTTTCATCTCTCATGCCATGGTTCCAGAACTGTCTGCAGCAAACTTCTGTGGAGTTAAAGTAAGCTGCTTTATTAACCCAGGCTGCCATTCACGACCTGCTAAAAAGTATGGCGGAAGGTAGGAAAACCTTGACTGAAGAAAGATTGGAACAAACCCTTCTTCCTTAAAAAAAAGATATTCTTACAGAGCTTCCTTTCGTAGGTTCTCCTTTAAGAAGAATCAAAGAAGGACATTTTTCTTTCCGGGTAAGGGAAAGAAGAACTTTCCAGAGAAAAATGAAAGGGGATTATGCCATTCCTGTATGGGGCAGACCTCTGTTCTTCAAGGCAGTATGGCAGAAGATTACTACAGACAGTTGGGTCAGGTTACAGTATTTCCTCTGTTCAACTATACATTCCCCAGACATAGCGGCAGTTCTTCTCCAACAGGTTGTGGTCTCATGGCCGTAAAATGTTATAGAAATTCAAAGGTTCTTATTCAAAAATATTTTTGGTTAAAGCCAGGTGGTTCTTTCCGTCCAATTTTGGATTTAACATTAGTGAACAAGTTCATGGTTCAGAAATTATTTTGCATGGAAAACATAATCTGTGCATCTCACATAATTCAACCAGGTTCATGGCTATGTTCCATCAATGTGCAAGATGCCTATCTGCACATACCAATAGCAGCAAACATTAGGTTTTTAAGATTTGCCATACAAGATCAGCTTCTGCATTTCCATTTCAGGGCCTTATCCTCTGGCCCCTCTTTTCCAAGTTACTCGTGGTTATCACAGCAGAATTGCAGAAAAAAGGTCTCTATACCGTACCTGGACGACTTGTTACTCATAGCGTCTTCAGAGCAACAAATAAGACGTCAGAAGGGCAACCATGACCCTCCGAAATCATGGCTGGATTATAAACTGACAAGTCGGAGTTGACCCCATCTCGTTCTATCCTTTTTCTGGGTCTTATTTTAGACTCTATTCAAATGAAGCTTTTCCTTCCAGAGGAGAAGATACACAAGATAAAGGTCACCATTATCAGCTTGCAAAAGAAAGTCTTGCACTATAAGAGAAGCTATGAGACTTCTGAGTCTGTTCACTGCCACAATTCCAGCCGTAAAATTGGCCAAGGCACATATGAGGCCATTGCAGAGGAATATCCTGTCGTCCTTAGACCAGTCCATAAATTTTAGCTCTTTGGCTCGACTAAGCTTCCATTGGTGGATGACTTCAGCAGGAATCTTCTAAAACAAGGAGATTGGTCTCTTTCTCCTGCTTTTTCAGGAAATTTGTAGAGAAATTCAGTCTTCCAGTTAGAGATATCATGGCCTCCAAGAAAACAGCCCGATTTGCTTCCATAAATTCAATGGACATGCTAAACTTCCTGGATGCGATATTGATTCAGTGGGATTTTCCACTTCCTTACATCTTTCCTTCGGTTATCCTTATCCCATGTATTCTACAGAAAATCGTCCAGGACAAGTCAAAGATGATAGCAATACTTCCCTTCTGGCCTCAAAGAAGTTGGTTCTCCGTTCTACTGCACCTATCCAACAAGAGGTTTTGAAAACTTCCTATGTCGGAGAAAATTCTGGAACACAAGTTGGTTCCGCTTCACACCCTTCAAACATTCCAATTAACAGCCTGGTATCTAAACGCCAGATCCTGAGATGAAGAGGACTCAGTCATGAAGTAGTGGCTATCCTACTAGCTGGTAAAAAGACTCCACTTCTTTAGTTTACATTGGAATTTGGAAAAAGTTCTGCTCTTGGTGCTACAATGTAGGGGTCAATCCTCTTTCGGCGTCAGTTTCTCAGATTTTGACATTTCTGCAATTGGGGTTTGCTAAAGGCCTTCGTCCTGCTACTCTGAAGGTTCACATCTCTGCTATTCGTTTTTTCAGTATTTGAGAATTTGCTTCGGATGCTCTTATTTCCAGATTTTTTTTTTATTTATTTTTTTTGCGCACTTTCTAGACTCCTTCCTACCATCAAGGAATTGGTTCCCCTTTGGGATTTAAATATTGTCCTCTCGGCTCTTTGTGAGGCACAGTTTGAACCCTTGGAGTCTGTCAGTCTTAAGATTCTTACATTGAAGACCATATTTTTGGTTGCAGTGACATCAGGGTGAACTTCAGGTCTTTGCCTCTTTTCCTCCTTTCCTAGTATTTCACCTTGATAAGGTGGCCCTGAAACTTCATCCTTTTTTTTTTTTTTTTTTCTACTAAAGTGGCCACCTTAACTAACATAAATCTTGAAATTGTTCTCCCTACATTTTGCCAGAATCCTCAAAATGCTGTGGAACGGAAATTCCATTGCCTGGATGTTAAACGCTGCCTACAGTTTTACATGGAAAGGTCTTCTCCTTCACAGATTGGCAATGCAGCAACTTGGTCGTTTCTACATACCTTCTCCAAACATTATAGGTTAGACGTACTGGCCTCTGAGGACTCTATTTTTGGGTGTAAGGTGTTAAAAGCCATGGTAAAGTGATGTTTCCCGCCCTTAAGGGATTGCTTGTTTATCCCTGTTGTAGTGCACTGCCTCTAATCTGGAGGGAAAAGTTCAAATTTTACTTACCATAAATTTATTTCATTAAGATTAGAGGCAGTGCACATATTTCCCACCCTATTTATTAAAGATATTTTTGCAATTATTCAGTTTTTGTATTTATTGGGGTTTTGGGGATTTCAGGTGGTTTTATATCTATAGGTGGAGGAGCCTTTAGGATTAAAAATTGGTTGCCTGCTGGCTTTCCGATCCAGATTAGAGGAAATCTCTGTAGTGCACTGCCTCTAATCTTGAGGAAAAATACATTTACGGTAAGTAAAATTTGAACTTCCCTATGGGAAACCATTGGATTGCCTGAGATCAAGATTGACGATCTCTGCAATTGAATTGGGGCCAGCCGTGGAAAGACTGGCGCGGCATGGTAGAAGTGAGTAAATTAACCTTTTTGTGCGCACACACACCCCTCCCACAGTTTTCTGCTTGGTAGTAATAGTTTGTATTTGTAGTAGTATTGCTGTATGAAACTTCTGTAGGGAAACAGTCTAGTGACTTAGAGAGCTGTGTTTTAATGTGATTGAAAATCTCGAAATGTTTGGAAATATTTTACTGTGTTAACCCTTTAAGGACCAAAGCATTCTTTGGTATTTGTGTGTTCCACTTCAGTTTCCTTTTTCATTTATAAAACTATATATAATGTGTTGGTGTAATAAAGGACAATACTGCTTTAATTTGATGTGGCATATACAATTGTAATCAAAATTTATTTAGCCCTCATTGAAAATCGGGTTTATTGTTATAATTTATAGTTTTTCAACTGTTTGTTATGAACAAAGCCTACAAAATCTATTGAAATTGCTTTTCCCCAAATTAAATGTTATGATTTCTCCAGTCTCAATATTATTCAACACCTTCATAGCAAGCATCTTTAGCACTTAAACACCCTTTTGCTGTTATGACCTGCTGCAACTGAGATGCATAGCCAGACTGCAGCTTCTGGCAACATTTCTGAAGAATCTTAGTCTATTGTTAATGAGCAATGGCCTTCAGTAATAATCATGGGTTTGCATGCTGCAACTGCCTACTTCAAATCCCACTAGAAATTTTCTCTGGGGTTCAAGTAAGGTGACTGTGATGGCTACTGTAGAATTTTCCAGGACATATTCTGCAGCTAAGCCTTGCTGGAATTTGAGGTAGGCTTGGGATTATTGTCTTGTTGGAAGGTCCAATGACCCCCAAGCTTCCACTTCCTGAGACACGGCATGACCTTTTCTTCTTCGATGTCCTGACACTTTAATCCATTCTGCATTCTACACGCTGCAGGTTTCCAGTGCCAGAGAAGGCAAAGCAGCTCCAGAGCATCACAGGCCCACCATTATGCTTAAAGGGACACTGTAGGCACTCAAACCACTTCACCGCATTATGGTGGTCTGGATGCAATGTCCCTTAACCCATAGCATGTCATTATTGCAGTTTATTTCCTTTAGTGGTTCTCTATCAGACAGCCTCTAGAGGGACTTCCGGGTCTTTAGGAGACTTTTGGTCGCCTAAATGATGCCCAACGTCCTCACGCTATGCTTAAGGACTTTCAGCGTCACCAAAATCCCCATCGGAAAGCATTGAATAATACTTTTTCTTTAAGGGATCCTAATGCGAGTGCATACCCGAGCCAGAGTCGAGGGACATTGGTGCTGGACACTGGTAAATAATGCACCCCTTCTGCACCATGTGCGGGCTTGACTTGAGGAGTTAGCTATATTGCTAGAAAAACAAGTTTTTCCTGCCACTATAGTTTGCCTTTAACTGTAGGCAGAGTGTTTTTTTTCAAGGTATGCTTCATTCTTCTTTCTCCAGACATACTGTTGATCCATTGGGCTGAAAAGTTTTGTTTCATTTCTCCATAGAACAGAATCCCAACACTTATGCAGCTCTTTTATGATTTTGAGCTTATTGGAGACAACTTTTCTTGTAGTTCTGCGTTTAGTATGTGATTTGCTGTGCTCACTGAAACCTCGGTGCCTGTTGCCACCAAATCTTGATGCAGGTCTTTTGCAGTCATCCAGGTTTTTTCACAACCTGCCTTCTCAGAAATCTGGTTGCAGCCATTGATGACTTCCTGTTCCTGCCCTGTCCAGGTAGTGTAACTACTGTTCCTTCAACTTTGAAATTATGCTTCCAATGGTGTCTCTAGGAACATTCAGTGCTTTCGCTATTAATTTTTTTTTTTTTTTTGTCTCTTGTTCCTTGTTTGTGAAGTGTGGTAATATCTTTTAACTTGGTAGACCCTCTTTTTTTACTTATCTGCCATATGTCTAACATGCAGTCAAACCTGACACTCTGCAACCTCCTAGTCAGTTCATGTATTTAAAGTGTTCCTGTACAAGCATACTTAGCATAACTAGTGAAGCCCTTGATTACACCTGTTTAGCATATTCGAGCTGTTGTGAGGGATTCTATTCAGGGGGTTGAATCATTTTAAGACTGGAGAAATCATAAGTGGCATTTTCAGTTGAATTTGTGGAAACCACTTGAAGCATTTGTTGTGTTGAGCTATTTCATCCGCCGTATAACACTTAATAGGTTGCTCAGCTATGTAGTCTGTGTGCAGCAATACCTAAAGTATACCTGTGCTATTTGGGTGTTTAAGGGGCAAATATGAGACACTGCCATTTAACCCCTTAAGGACCGGACTGTTTTTGCGATGTTGTACGTTTGCGACCAGGCATCTTTTTACACTTTTGTGGTGTTTGTGTTTAGCTGTAATTTTCCGCGCTCTCATTTATTGTTCCCATACAAATTATATATTGTTTTTTTTCAGGACAAAAGGTGCTTTCTTTACATACCATTATTTATATAATCTCATGTAATTTAATTTGAAACAATATGATGAAAAATTGAAAAAATACATGTTTTTTTGACTTTTACGTGAGAAATCTTGTACTCATCTGCAAAAGCGAATGGGGAAAAAAAACTGCTAAATAGATTCAAAATTTTGTCCTGAGTTTAAAAATACCCAATGTTTACATGCTTTTTTGCTATTTTTTTGCATGTTATAGGGCTATAAGTACAAGTAGGATATTGTGGTTTCAAAACATACATTTTTAAAATGTATCAGCAGTGACATTGTAACACTATCTGTCATAAATCTCTGAATAACACCCCACATTTTTTCTTTTCTTTTTAGTAGACAGCCCAGGGTATTCAATATGGGGTATGTCCAGACTTTTTTTTAGTAGCCATTTAGTCACAAACACTGGCCAAAGTTAGCGTTCATATTTGTGTGTGAAAAAAGTAAACTAAATTGAACGCTAATTTTGCCCAGTGTTTGTGACAAGTGGTTACTAAAAAAGACTGGACATACCCCACTTGGGTTGTCTTCTTTTGCAAATGGTATGCCATCATGGGGGGTAATTCTCATTCCTGGGCTACCATACACTCTCAAAGGCAAAATAACCAACCTGGCCATTTTCAATGTAAAAATATGACCCATATATTTGACCCTGTAACACTATAAAACTTGTACATGAGGGGTACTGTTATACTCAGGAGATTTTGCTGAACACAAATATTAGTGTTTCAAAACTGGAAAATGTATCATAACAATTATATCATCAGTAAAAGTGCTGTTTGTGTGTGAAAAATGCAAAAGTCATTTTCACTGACTATCATCGCTGTGATATGTTTTACGGTTTTGAATCACTAATATTTGTGTTCAGGGAAGTATCCCGAGTAAAACCGTTGGAGAATCTATATGCTTCGAATTCGTATGTGTTTTTATAATTGTTCTTCTTGGCAACTCACCAGTGGAATACTTTGATTCATGTTTACATATGATACTTTCCCCTTCTGTGTAACACTACTAATCATTTAGAGTTTCATTGCAACCAGCCCAACAAGCATTTCCCTGGAAAATATTTACAGCTGGCCTTATTTATATAGTGCTGCAAAATGTACTGTCCTCAAGTGCCCTCCAGATACAACGAGCCATCTCAGTCAAAAAATGTATCATGAGAGGTTGAGGTCACTCAGTTATAGGTTGCCATAGGTAATGTGTGGAATTATTAATTTTTATATTTTTTACATGAATGTGCTTCTTGGTGTGCATTGACTTTGATTGTGTAGCATTAAAATAGGTTTTTAACTCCTAAATGGCAGTGAATTGTGCAGTGAGACTGCAGGGGGCATGGTCCATACACCAAAACTGCTTCATTATGCTAAAGTTGTTTTGGTGACTATAGTGTCCCTTTTAATCCATAAAATGTTAACATTTGTGTGTTTTGGTGCATAGAACCCAGCTCTCAGCAGTAGTGTTTACATATGACCTTAAACTTGCATCTAGTGGCTGCCAGATTAACAGCTACAGGACTAACTTGTTGAAAATTTTAATTTATTGAAAGTCTTTAGGTTCCTTGACATCAGACATGTCGTCATGGTGAATGCTTCTGTATGAGAAGCATCAAACTAGCTGGGCAGCAATTGCCACAGTTATATGCCCCGTGGGTCCCTGGTGAGAAGCATTATATGTACATTTTCTGCTGAATTGAGCATTAATTAATTAATCCTGTGGATGCCAAGTTTGACTTCAGTTATAAATTAAATAGATGTTCATTGATTAATTGCAACACATAAAGCTTAAAAATTACCTTGGAGGTGGATACAGTCATGTTCAAAATGGACAAATGGGTGTATGTGTATAACAATATTTGGCAGGTACACTATTTAGATGAAATATTGATCCGTACAAGTATTACTAAATGTAATATTTTTCATGTTAGGTTTGCTTTATTTTCTTCTTCTGTTTACTTAGTCATATTGCAAAACCTAGTCTAAAACAGTTGGGTTTTAACTATATCTCCATGAGCAAATATGTGGTTTTGGTCGACATTTTGCAGACAAGTTTTATAGTCGCTACAGTTATTAGGGTATTTGTCACAACATGAACATGTCAGGCACACACAAAGTATAGACAAAGTATTTCTGCAAGTACAGAGAGCGAGAACTGGAACGGAAGGCTGTAAACAGGTTGTAGTTGGTAAACAGGGGCTTAAAGATAATGTTGGCCTTAAATAGTCATAGGTTGGCTGTGTTAGCCTGTATATGGCAGCTTGCTTGTGATTTTTCAACTATTCGATGTTAAGTGATAAGCCCTCTTTGTTTTTCTTACTGCCTTCCTGAAACCCAGTGCAAGTGCTGAACCACTTTCAAAAGATGCTTGTATGCTGTAGTGATGTTAAAATTAATTCTTCACGTGGCATTGCAGCTATAGTTAAAGTGAGGTTCCAGAGTTTTAATGTTGCTACATTTGTATATTGTATGTAGGGCTGCAAATAATTGTCTTAATTAATTGGATTATCTATTTTTATAAATATATTGGATTAAAATATCTAATCTGGTACATTCACAATTAAAAATGTATATTAAAAATCAAAGGTCAAAGCGGACTATCAATTAGTAATACGACACAACCTTACAGACTTATCTATACAGTTCATATAATCATCAATGGCAAACAATCAACTAATAATTGTGCAAACTGATAGCCCTAGATTGAATCGATGTGGACTGACTGTAATAAGCTTGGCACTAGATCATGCAAAGGATAGTCACAACCCCCCTGATTAAATAATAAAAACAGTTTATATGATAACTCCTATTCTTTCTGGGTTGCACTGATGATCTAATCCACATAAGCATGTAGTAGTTGTAAGCTGAAAGAAACATACAGTCCTGAAAAAAATAACACCTGTTGGCACAGATGTCATTCTTAAGCAACCTCTGTGTTACTAGGAACTGCATTAAACATTCCAGCACCTTTCTCCATGTAAAACAGCCGAAGATCTTATACACACTCCTCTGCATACTCTAGCTAGACTTTATTTAAAAAAAAAAAACACGCAATGCTTTTTAGGATTTTTCTTATGTCTTTTTTTTTTTTTTTGCAAAATTAAGTAATACAGTGATTTTTAACTTGTCCCGTGCTCACACCAACTATAAGTCATTTGATAATTTTTATATTTTATGTATTTGTATTAGTAGTTGCAGCTGGAGTGTATCCGCTTTGTAATCCGCTTTGTAAATGTTATTTTCTGTTAATTAGGTTTAAAAAATAAAAAATACTTATGATAAAACACTGCTTAAAGAAAACTGTATTTTGTCTTAATTGAACACTTAATGGTGAAATAATTATTTTGACTTTTGTTTTGTTACAGAGTAACAGCTATCCACCAATGTCAGATCCATACATGCCTAGTTATTATGCTCCATCCATTGGATTTCCTTACTCACTCGGTGAAGCAGCATGGTCCACCGCAGGCGATCCACCTATGCCATATTTGACAACATATGGACAGATGAGCAACGGGGAACACCACTATATACCGGATGGAGTGTTCAGTCAGCCTGGAGCTTTGGGGAACACTCCTCCTTTTTTAAGCCAGCATGGGTTTAATTTTTTTCCTGGGAATGCAGATTTCTCAACATGGGGGACAAGTGGATCTCAGGGACAATCAACACAAAGTTCTGCATATAGCAGTAGCTACGGATACCCACCTAGTTCTCTTGGTAGAGCCATAGCTGATGGACAAGCTGGATTTGGCAGCGATACTCTAAGCAAAGTACCAGGCATTAACAGCCTTGAGCAAGGAATGACAGGACTGAAAATTGGTGGGGATATGTCTGCTGCTGTAACAAAAACTGTAGGTTCAGCTTTGACTAGTGCAGGCATGACAAGCATAGCTGCCAACAGTGTTCCCCCTGTTAGCAGTTCAGCACCAAAGCCAACCTCGTGGGCTGCCATTGCTCGAAAGCCTGCCAAACCTCAACCCAAACTTAAACCCAAGGGTAATGTGGGTATTGGTAGTACTGCTGTTCCTCCACCGCCTATAAAACACAACATCAATATTGGAACTTGGGATGATAAAGGGGCTGTGGTAAAGTCCCCTCCCACTCAACCAGCTCTGCCTCCTCAGCCTGTAATTCAACAGCCTCAGCCATTAACTCAACCTCTTCCCATGGTGCAAAACCAACTGCCTCAACAGCAGCTTCAGCAACAAGGTCTGCAGCAGGCCCAACCACATCAGGTGCAGCAACAACTTCAAAATCGCTGGGTGGCTCCTAGAAACAGGGGGGTGGGCTTCAATCAGAATAATGTATCTGGCAATGATAATTTTAACTTAGGTGTTGTACCCATTAGCTCCTCAACTTCTGGTGTTGAGGTACACCCCGTACTGGAGAAATTGAAGGCCATAAACAACTATAATCCCAAAGACTTTGACTGGAGTCTGAAAAATGGACGTGTGTTCATAATCAAAAGCTACTCTGAGGACGATATTCACCGATCTATCAAGTACTCTATCTGGTGCAGTACTGAACATGGTAATAAACGTTTGGATGCTGCTTACCGATCATTGAATGCAAAAGGCCCACTTTATTTACTCTTCAGTGTAAATGGAAGTGGACATTTTTGTGGTGTAGCCGAGATGAAGTCTGTTGTGGACTATAATGCATATGCTGGAGTATGGTCCCAGGATAAATGGAAGGGAAAGTTTGATGTTAAATGGGTCTTTGTTAAAGACGTTCCCAATAACCAGCTGCGACACATTCGTTTAGAAAACAATGATAATAAGCCTGTTACCAACTCAAGGGACACTCAAGAAGTACCCCTAGAAAAAGCCAAGCAAGTTCTCAAAATAATTGCTACTTTCAAGCATACAACCTCTATTTTTGATGACTTTGCACATTATGAAAAGCGTCAAGAAGAGGAGGAAGCCATGCGAAGGGTAAGTGTGCTCTAATTTAAAATATTTCTATTTTCAATTCGATTCATTTGCAATATGTTTCTTTGTTTCTTTTGTGTTGGTGCCTACATGTTTCTTCTATTCAACCTTTAGAGTTTCTAACTTGCTAAAAAATTAATTTTTGCTAGTGACTAACACACTAATCTTGTCTTGCTTAAATGAGCTATTATATACATGAATTTCAGTTTTAGACTTTTTGGTGACCCTTTTTAAACCAGCAATTTCATTACTAAAGTATGTAACCATTTTTTTTGTGTAATAAGCAATTCATGACTATTTCTATACATCTCCATGCATTTTTATTGGCTGTACGTAATGCATGCTACTTGTGTAATTAAAAATCTCACATACTAGGGTGCTCCATGAGTTTATCACACTAGTTCACAGGAAGAAAAAAAAAAAACCACACCACTATACTGTAATTAGAGTAATATAGCTTAACTTGTTTATTGAGAAAATTTCACTTTTTTTTTTTTTTGGTTTAGCTGCCACATTCTATGTGCTCTGTTTTGAACTGTAGCAACAGGCAAGTTAGGTTGAGCAGTTGGTCAAATAGTAGAAATTGCTCAGCACAATATAAAAGTTAAACCTTCTCAATAGTCTCTATACACCCAAAAAACAAATCCAGTTTCATTGAACTTTTAAAATATAATAGAACATTTTCACATTTTTCCTTTAAATTTAAAGCTGTTTGCCATGTGTACGCAGATTTGTTGATTAAGAGGATACTATAGTGTTAGGAATACAAATCGTTATTCCTAAACTATAGAGCCCTCTTGACCCCTCTCCCCAGGCTCATAAAGGGTTAAAAAACTGTCACCCTATTCCAGCGCTGATGTACCTTGGCACTCTGTATCCTCCAATGTCCACAGACGGGAGGGGGAAATGCGTATGTGCCACGAGCGCATTGCTCCAGTGCTTTCCTATGGGGATTTTATGGACGCTGGATGTCCTTATGCAGAGTGTGAGGTCGTGCAGCATCAGGTGACCAAAAGGCCGTTGGCCACCAGTTAGTGCCCGTAGAGTCAGTCTTAGTCCTGCAATGTTATTTCAGTTTCTCTAAAATGTCAATGATTTATATTGCAGGACTTAGTGTGACTGGGACACTGCAGCCAGACAACTTCAATGAGCTGAAGTGAGTGTTAATTCTGCAGACACAAGTACAGTTAAAATGGGCACTACAGTCACCAGAACCTCCACAGCCTAATGGAGTGGTTGCATTGTGTCTCTATAGCCTGTTCCAACATGCTTTTCAATGTAAACACTGCCTTTTCAGAGTCAAGTCGGTGTTTACATTGCTGCCTAGTAACCACTAGTATCAGTCACTCAGATTGCCACTAGAGGTGTCTTCCTATTTCAGTGCTCATATGGTGTGTGTATATATTGTCTTAATGTGTTGCCATCTTTTCACCAGTTTGTGGAAAACTAACTTTCAGTTTTTAAAGTTAGAATTTTAATAGATGAACTTGATGTGCAAATTCATTTTCTGAGGTCTTGTAGCATCTTCACAACTACCCAATGAATTCATACCTTTTCTTAAAGTATACATCATGGGGTATATCAGATGATACATTTTGAGTCTTATTATACAGCCAATTTAACAGCAATTCCTTTCATAGTTTATGGTATGCATTTTTTTTTTTTAATTTTTTTTTTTTTAAATCCACCTAATTTAGCTTTATCTTTTATAAATTTGATATGTGCTACTATAATTAAATTGTGCTCTCCAGAGTATAGAATGACCCCCTTTATATACCTGTGTAAAGTGCTTTGTAAAAATACAGAACTGAATTTATAACCTGCCCACTTTTTTTTTTTTTCGGAAAGAGAAAATGGCAAATTGTAGATGGGTTTATAGTGCATTTTGGGTCATTTTAGTAGCTCACATATTTAACATTATTTGCAAAAGTCGATGCAATATGGACTCACGTGATATATTTTTAGCTTTAAGATGCCATTTTTTCACCGTTTGTTTTCAAGGTTTGTGATATTTTTCAACTTACATACACACTTGTATATTTTTTCTGCTTATTTATTTATTTATTTTTTTTAAATCTTGTGTCACACTTGAATAACATTATCTTAACTATACAGAGCAAAATCTCATACGTACGGCTAAACCCCATTTGTATATATTTGCAGAGTAAAATCCTAATCCCAAATCTCACCCTAAGTATTCATCTTGGCAAAGGGAAATCTAAATTAACAGTGATATGTTGCTGCCATTTACTGGCTATTTGAAGTATGACCGCTTCCTATCTCTTTCATTGCATAATGTATGTTTAATGCATTGAGATTAATGCTGGGCAACTGACATGTATGTATGTGTTGCACAGCATATCGATCTATATATCTCTCTCCCTAGACCAGAGCTCGACAAATCCCAGGTCGCCATGGCGATTAGGAATTTTGTCCTGGTGTCTGTGATTTGTCAGCCCGTTCAGTGGAGTGAAATAAAGGTGAAAGCGGGTGGCAAGGGAGGGAGCTGTTATCTTCCTAACACCTTGCTCTGCTCTCTCGCGCATCCTGCAGTGATGCCGGGAGCTGGGTTATAACTTCATTCCAGCCCCGGCATCACTAAACCATGCTCTAGGGAACAGAGCAAGAAGAGCTCAATCTTGATGATCTCACCCAAGCCAAGTTACTAGGCACTAGGGATCGACCGATTATCGGTCTGGCTGATATTCTGCATTTTCAGCAATATCGGTATCGGCCAATACCGATATTGCTGATAATGCAGACCAGGACCGCCGCGCTCCTGGTTGGGATCATTATCCTGTTGCATGGCTTAATTTAGCACAAGCTTTAGCTGTCGGACAGATGGCCTCACATTTGACTCTAGAATAATTTGGTATACAGAGGAGTTCATGGTCAACTCAATGACTGCAAGGTTCTCCGGTCCTGTGGCTGCAAAACAAGCCCATATCATAACCTCTCCACCACCATGCTTGGCAGTTGGTATGAGGCGTTTGATCATAATGCACAGTGCCATGTTTGAGGAAAACCAAACCGATCATATTGGCACAAACCTCTCCACTTTGGTCTTGTCTGCCCAAAGGACATTGTTCTCGTGGTTTGTTCAGATGCAACTTTGCAAACTGTGCTGCAATGTTTTTTTGAGAGAAGAGACTTTCTTCTGGCAACTCTTCCAAACAAACCATACTTGTCCAGGCTTTTTCCAAATCTACTGAACTTCAATATTTAACATATGAAATGAGGCCTGCACAATCTGAGATTTAACTATTGGGGTTTTTGCAGTTTCTCGGAGTTCTTTGCATGTTCTGAGCTTGGGGTGAATTTGCTGGGACCTCCGCACCTGTATATATTGGCAACTGTCTTGAATATTTTCCTCTTTTGAATAAGCTTTCTCATTGTAGAATGATGGACTTTAAATTGTTTGGAAATTGCCTTATAACCCTTCCCAGTTTGATGGGCAGCAACAATTGCTTCTCTAAGATAATTGCTTATGTATTTCCTCCTTGGCATTGTGTTAACACACACCTGATGCACCAGACCAGCAAAGTGCTAAAACATTGGCTTTTATAGAGGTGATAACTCTTGATCACATGGCTTTTCCATTGTGGCTTTATTTTTGTTAAATCGTGACACTGTGTATTATGTCATGTGGTGTTTTTCATCTGAGATTGGTTATATCCGCTTTTAGGACCTGCTAAGGAACAGATAATTGAATTTCATTGGTTTTATTTACGCTGCCATTATATGATGGTTAAGATGAGCTCTCCCGATGCTTGTTCTCTTCACAGCTTCAGAGCAGAACTGTCCCTTCCAGAGAAATGGCAGTTCCTTCACCAGCGTAAATATTTAGGCATCTAGCAGAAAAATGCCATACGGAACAAGTGTATGCACCATGCATACAGCATTGCAAGAGAACTTTTGCATAGTTTGCCAGGCCTTGTCCAACGTAGCATGTAAATGAAAATACAATATTTTAAAATTAATTTAGCACTACTTTTAATTAACCCTTACCTGTCTACTGAAGACATCGGCATTCCTCAAGGACATGATCACTTTGAGACAACTGTCTCATTCAAAAGCTTTAGCTTTAAATGGGACTCTCGCTCTGCAGGTTGAAAAATGAATGTAATTCTGATCTTTACCTGCTTCTTTCTTATACTCTCCACACCCACTTGGGGAACTCTGATCTAACCAGCAAGCGTCCTATTCTTAAGGATCCGAGAAAAGTGCATTGGGCATGCCTGACTGCTACACATAAGCAACTGGAAGATCTCTACACCTTGAAGCATACTTTCAGGGGGAGAAGACAGTGTGATTATGCTGAGCAGGCTCCAATGTTTGGTTCATCTCTCCTGTTGCTTCACAATGATGCCTTCTTTCTGTTATTAGTAGACTAGTCTGAAACTGAAATGGGGTGGTTAATGGGGATGGGGGGGGGTTTGAAGAAACTTTCTAACTGAGAGGCGTGCCCAACAATGCAATTTGACCAAGTTTATATTAAATTTAAAAGTGTTGATTACATGCTTTTCAAAGTTTTTAATTTTTTTTTTATTTTTATTTTTTTCTGTATATTTGTTTTAAAGTGTTTCTTTGCTGGTTTAAAACATAATTGCCAAGTGATGTCTCTTTAACCTCTTAAGGACCAAACTTCTGGAATCAAAGGGAATCATGACATGTCACACATGTCGTGTCCTTAAGGGGTAAAAGGTTTTCTGGATGCCATTAAGTGCTCTGGTTAACCCTCAATGTAAATCATATTTCCAATTAACTTTGTACAGTGCTACGTGTTTAAATTGTATGGGGGAAAAACTCATTCTGTCATATGTGTACATAACTTTTTTTTTTTTTTTTTTTGCAGGAGAGAAATAGAAACAAACAATAATTGTAAGGAGGTAACCTGCTATAATCTCAACACTAATGATGCAGACTCTGGAAATGCCTACTTTGTCGACGAGAACATAGAATGCTTTTTATTTCTGCTTAAGGTGACATCTTTGGACACTTTAACACAAATTGACTTTTCCTCCCCCTCCCTCCCTCCCCCCCTCCTTTCTCCTTGGTTTCATCCATGTGTCAGTCATCCTCCTTATCATACACTCTTGAGAACTTTAACTTCATCAAGCACTTTGTCCAGAAGCTTTTATCGGTATCTGCTGTCCTTTTTGTAATCATTACATCCAAGCAAAGACACAGGAGACCCATCAAATGAATGGATTATTTGTTTTTAATTTGTTAAATACTAACCACCATTCGAAAAATGGCTAGATAAAGTGAGATTCACAGTGCTTCTTTTTATTATATATTTTGTCTTTTTGTTAGAGGTTAACAAAAAATTAATCATGCCATGTCTAATTTAAAAGTAAACTCCAGTTGTCTGTCAGATATTGTAGTATCATCGATACCGACTTTTAAAATGCAGTTTAGCCAAATCGTAGAAATTTGTTCCAGCTTTTTGGTGTAAGAAAATATATTACAATGCAGTTTTGTCTTCACCTCGCGCTTAATTCACACTTGTTATATTTCTTTACCAATTATTAATGGCTTTGCTGTCAAAATCAGTCCGTGCTGCTGATTTTTGGTAACAAAGAGGGGGGGGGGGGCGACAAATAAGCATTCTTGTTTGGTACCACTTAGTGTCACAAATTTCAATGTTTTGAATAAATGTACCTCAGTCCAAATATGACTTTCTGTGACCTTTTAGCCTACGTTTAATAATCAAAATCACGCTGCTGGGTGTTTTCAAACCTGTCCAAGTGTTCTCGAGAAAATAGATATACTCCAAATACTGATATTCTAAGCGTAATAAATATAATTTTGAATAGCAAGCATACATTTTGGAGTTTTGCACCTTCTGTTTTGTTTTTCTTTTCCCATTTTTAACTGCTACAATAACTTTTTAATTTTAAGTGGGTACAGGTTCAGTGCAGGTTCAGTTTCAAACTGAAGTCCAGACCACTAATGTCAGATTTATTTTAAGTGCCTATTTCCTTTTTATATTTAATTTGTAGTTAATAGAAACTATTATAATCATATTTTAATGTATTGCTGAGAAATGTATTAATGTAAAGTATACCAGCCTCACAAAAATGGCAATTTGTTTTTGGGTTTTATTTTCCCCTACTTTTTTTTTTTTTTTTTTCAATCTGTTTAAAACTGCTTATAGCGTAGCCTATTGTAACGCACATTTTTGTCGTCCTGGGGTAGTTTTGTTTCTATGCTACGTGTCTGTCCATTAACAACACTAAATGTTTTCGTTCATTCTAATCAGTTATGGTTTGATTTCTGATTAAAGTATGGTAAACATATCTACACTTCTAAATTCTGGACTTCACATTAAAATGCAGTAAACTCTTAAGTGGAATACGCTCTCTAATAAAATGGGTTCATTACCAAAACCACAAAACAAACCTAAATGGTAGAAGTTAAAACATAGTCTGTTACAATTTTCTAACTCGTATAATAGGTTGATTTTACAGAGTAATGTGTTTTTAATATCATGTTAATGTGGACCCTCTTCTAAAAATTTTTTTTTTTTTTTTTTTTAAATTCCAGCACTAATTTTAACATTGGAAGCCTATGGGCATGGCTCTCAAAATCTTCTGCATTTGAGTTTATGGCACATTTAGTTTTGCTGTACCCTCTTGTTTATATAGCTTCAAAACTGTCACTATGTTAAATATAAGAATATATACACAAAGCAACCAATCTTTGAAGAGTCCAGATGTCAGTTTACTGTGGCCTGCTCATGAGACCAGTAATGAAAGTGCCGATATGTGATATATTGAAAAACTGTATTTGAAAGAACCACAAAATATTTTTCAGAAGCTGGCTGCCTCTTTCATGTTTTATCTCCTTAAAGGGACACACTAGGCACAATAATCACTGTATCTCATTCAATTGGTTGTGATGTCTAGTGTCATCGTACTGTTCTGTGTTTAAACCGTTTTCCAAAGTATACCATGTGAGTGAGGAAACTTGTGGCTTTGCCCTCTGCTGCAGTTGTTACTAAGGGAGCAGGCAGTCTCAGGCTGTTACTGACGTTCATTGCTGCTTAGGCTAGTGCAGAAGCTTTAGCCCAGGGACCTTCACTCAATTTTAATCTGTTCAAAATAGAACCATTACCTGTCAGGGGACTCTATGCATGATTACCACTTCAATGAAATGAATATAGTGCCAGGAAAACAAACTCATTCCCCTTCTGTCAAGGCCCACCCCTGTGGTGCAGAAGGGGTTAATCACCCCCTTCTGTCACTTACTTGGGTCCAGAGCCTGGCTAAGCTTCGTCCATGCTCCTCTCCGGCGGGGGAGACCTAATGTGCGGCAATGACCGCACTCACTTTAGGATCTTCCCATAGCAAAGCATTATTCAGTGCTTTCCTATGGGGATTCCAGCAACGCCGGATGCTAGACACCCACTAGAGGAGGACTTAACCCTGCAAGGTAATTATTGCAGTTTATAAAAACTGCAATAATTACATGTGAAGGAAGTTGGCACCCAGACCACTTCAGTGGGCTGAAGTGGTCTGGGGTGCCTACAGTGTCCCTTTAAAATAAAATTCCCACAACTTTTCCTAAAACATTGTGTTTTTGTCACAAGTTAGCAGTCATGTTAAAATGTTACATATGCTTCACATCACCAGGAGTACACATTAAATTGAGTGCAGTCTTTCCAAGTTTTTCAGGTAGTCATTGTAGAGTTTGAAAATGCATGGCTGTAGTTGTAACCAGGAGTTATAGATTCCACTTTCTTGCTTTTTCAAGTTTCTCAACACATAATGTTGCAACATAACTTCTTATACATAAAGCTGAAAAAAAATAATGAATAAAACATGTCCAATTCCATTTTCTTTTTAAAGTTGATCTCATAGTACCCTAAGCAGTTTCAGCCACCACGGTTATGTTTTTCATAAAAAAAAAATTAGGATTTCCAAAATAAAAATAAATAAGAGCAGCCTATTTACTATTAAAACTGCCTGCTGGGATATAATCTTGGTAAAACCTGTAGGTATAAAAATAATGTATTATGACAAATCTTACTATTGATCATTTTGTTAGGTATTTTTGTACCTTTTTAGACAAATAAAAATATGCCTCATTCTTCATGTCTGCATAGTACACAATGTATTTTTTGTTAACCATTTACATTACCACAAGTATTTATTAAACCACCTAAAGTAGCAATCTTTTTTTCAGAAACTGCATTCCTGGAATTAAAGAATGTAGTAAAGTACTAGTGCTTGTTGATAAAACAATATAAGCTTTTAGGAAGGCATTGTGTATGTGTGAAAGCGAACAGTATACTTTTAATTTGCAGTTTGAAGTAAAATTTCAGCCACATTTGAAATCCTTAACAGTTTAACTTTTTTTTTTGTCATACTAGTGTTTTGCATGTTGCCCCAAACATGGTTAATTTTCGGCCAACCCACTGGTTATCTCTTGATCATGCCACTGGTGGGTGTTTTGCACAATGTGTGTCTGAGAAGAATCTTAACAGATTCAAACTTTGCGCACTCAGGGATATGTGCATGGTGTGACACTGATGCTCACATTTTGCAAGCAACTGCCATTGATAATCACTTGAATTCTGTTCTATGGCAGGTTTCCAGAGAGAGCTTAGAATATGTGAACATCTTTAAGATCGTAAAAAACAATATATTTAGCAAAATTTAGAACCATGGTATTTTCTTTATTCCAGAAGTGGTGACTGGTTCACCTTAAATATGCAGAGATACCCGTTCCCCAAGTAGACAAAAATATATCTATCTACTTGGGATCAGGTGTATATATATATATATATATATATATATATATATATATATATATATTTTATTTTATTTTTTTTCTTCCCATACACCTTCCCAAATATTTCTTCACACTTAGACTTTACTTCATAGTGTCCTTGTCCTGGAGTATCATAGGGAGGAATAATGTTCCTGCCACAGAAACCAAATCTCTTCCACCCTTTTTGTAATTGAAAACTAATCAATTTTTATGTAAAAGCACGACTGGTGTAAAATGGATATGCATTTTTTTTTTTTTTTTTTTTTTTTTTTTTTTTTTTTTTTTTTTTTTTTTTTTTTTTTTTTTTTTACAAAGTGCACCAGATTATATTGACTCTTCTGGAAGCGCATGGTGACAGAATTAGTACAAGCCCCAGTCGGTGACAAGGCAACTGACTTCCTGCTACATGGAGATATTTCACATAATGACTGTTATACTGTTGTAGGAAGAAAGTGAATATCCCATTAGGTGTGCACAATGCTGCAGATTAGTATATGATTGCGTGCGGTCGAATTACCGTATTAAAAAAATTCATGCTATCATCTCTCAATACTTTTTTTTTTTTCTATTTTATTTTATTTTCCTTAGGCCTCTTATCCATCTAAAGTGTCAAAGTAATTTGGTACAGGTTAACGATTTTAATATTTCTAATTGCAAACTTGGTCAGGTTATATTAAACTTTATTCTATACTTAAATATATATATATATCTTTCTTTCTGGCATTTGGGATTACATTGGACATGCCTTCAATGTATAGATGTGTAGTAGAAATTATGATTTTATGCAGCAATAGTATTTGTTCAGTTGCTGGTGGTTTTTAAAGGAATATTCTACTTATTAAAATTACTAAATTATATCCCACCTTTTGGTGTTCTTTTTCACCCAGCATACAGATAATCTGGTTTGCCTGCACGTGACAGAATTTAATTTTTTTGTTTTGTTTTTGATCCGTAACTCTGTATGTTTTAAAACTCTAATTACAGGAAAACTCCAGTTGTTTTACACAGTTGTGCCTCTGCATCACTATGCCTCTTGTGAGAACTGTGGTGACCCAGTCTTGTATAAATGAATCTTATGTATGCAATTAAAAATTAGATATCCCATATACTGTATACAATTACGGCAAAGCAAAAGCAGTCCTTACAGAGCTGGAAAATAAACTGTTCAAATCCAAGACTCGCTTTTTTTTTTTTTTTGGTGTTGTAGATATTGTGTATATGTGGTTTAATGACTGATTCTGGATCGTCATATTGTAAAGTGAAGAGGTATGGTGTCCACATCCGTTTGTGATTTGATCATGCCATTTACATCACTGCTGCAGTGCCCACAAATCTTTTATTTCACCACATTCCCTTTTGTTTCATGACCCATTCCATTACTTGTTATGCTATATATATTGAACAGCATATCCATTCAAACTTCCGAAAATGGCATAAGGTAAATCTGTTTTAAAGGGATACTATAGTCACCAAAACAGCTATAGCTTAATTAAGTAGTTTTTGAGTATAAATGCCTCTTAAGTCTCACTCCTCAATTCTCTGCCTATGACCAGTTAAATCACTTTTTGTTTCTGTTTATGCAGCTCTAGCCACACCTCCCCTGACTATGACTGATACTGCCTGCATGGGAAACAAATGGTTTTATTTCCATCAGTTGTAATCAGACGTAAACTATAAGTTTTATGTACTGCTCAGTAAATTGAACTTTACACACTGAATTTGCAATAAAGGAAGTATAAACATTAGATGACTCTTTACAGGATTTGTTTAGAAAGGCTGTGCAAGGAGGTGTGACTAGGGCTGCATAAGCAAAGCTATTTAACTCGTAAATGGCAGATCATTGATCAGTGAGACTGCAGAGGATCACCTGGCACCCCGACTTGGTACCTCTGTTGAAGGATGCTCCTAGTGCTTACTGAGGGCTCCAAGCACTCCACCAGAGACCATAACCACTGCAGACCCCATGAACTGTCGCAGCTTGGTTGGGATCTCGCGGTCACCTACCCACCCTGGACCTCTGACCAGGTTCCAGTGGGTGAACCTGTCTTTCCCCAGAGAGTGAAGCAGGAACAAGCTCTTAAAAGAGCTTAGTGATTATCCAAGGGAGTATGAAGAGCATAGCAATCCCTTGTAGCTGTTTCCCCCCATAAGAGACAGAACTCTAAACTGAGGGTGAAGTAGAACTGAAGGTTTAACGATACAGCTGCTTCTTTTATACACATTTTCCCACAAGGTTACCACCCACATGGACCTTGTGGAACACAGGACACAAAGTTACAACAGCCAATCAACACAGTACAGTCACACTCCCATCTAATGCACACAAACCCTCCCCTCTGCCTGTGATACAATTACCAAACACAATGGACTAACTTAATTACCACAGACAGAAAATATCCAGTTTTACCAGAAACACCGCAAAACATATCCCCATAACTCCTACATTCCTGGATAGCCCTGATTTGGGTGAACAACATATCCAAAAAATACCTAGATCTGATCAGGGGTTCAAAAGTTTTATGGAAGTCACATTTGACCGACTACAAGCATGGCTTTCATTCCCAAAATAGTTCCACAGATTTAGGCTGTTCTTCTCTATCCTGGAGATAATTGGCGTAAGTGCTCTGGTAACTTAATTATCTCCAGTAACAGGAAATATCTCTAAGTCAAAAACTTACAAAAAAAACATAAAAATACATAGCTCTTATAATACGATGTTTAACCTATATGTCCACATATCCCTAGATAGCTTGGATCTGAGTGCTCAATATGTCCGAAAAGCGCTCAGATCTAACAAATACAGTTGGATCGCCATGGGGTTAAACAATAGCAAGGGCTGATGAGAGAAGAGGGACAGAGCAGCCAGTTTGAACTGGTTTGGCAGTGTCCCTGGGACAATGACCTGCTGGAGAAACAGGACAGGAAAAAGGGGGAGGGGAAGAGGCACATTTTCCAGGCAGGAAGAGTGTATTAAAACCCCATAAGCCCAAACAGTGGTTTTAAATGGCAATACACCCCAGGGCCCATAGTCGCAGGGCAGGAGGCTGGCAAGCAGGCCCCTTCAAAAACTCATGGCAAACTCCCTTAAAAATGAGAGTTTGTCACAATCTATACACCAAAACTGTTTCATTATGCTGGTTATTTTGGTGACTATAGTGTCCCTTTTAAGAATTATTCCTGAATAGACATTTACAGTGTATTTTAAGTTGAATTTCATTTATGTATGTAGTATTCCTCTAATTTTGATATTCCAGGAGATGTACACACGCATAAATAATCCTGTTGTAATATCAATGTTAAACTGCAAAATAAAATGGTAGAAAACTTGCAAAAATTAAATGCTACTTACAATAGTGTAAAGTGAAGAGGTGAGTATATAATATACATTCATACAATACATGTGTGTAAGTGTGTGCTACAGTATTTTAAGAAGTATTTCATTTTTGGCAGTCTGTTTTTGTACTTTTGCAGTTTACATTTGATATTCAAGACCATTTTATGTGTGTATATGTGCATACTTAATCTATCAGAGCAATCACAAAACCCTTGTAATTCACATGTACACCAATTATTAGCAGTCATAACCAGACTAATCTTGCAAGTCTACAATTGACCTTCACTTCCAAGCACTTTTTGATTTAACAACGTGTTTGAATTAACCCCTTCAGGATGGAGTCAATAGTGCACGTTCTGATCAAAACAAAACAAAAACTGGAATTTGTCTGTTCAACCATAATTCACTGCTGTCACATTAAGTGCACCCACACTTTGTTCAGGAGAAACAGGGCTTTAATTTATCATTAACTATTCATGTATGGAACATAATTTATTATGAATAAAATTAAAAAAAAATGTGAGAAAATAAGATTTATTTTTTTTATTTTGTATTTCCGTCTGACATTTTAGCTGTGAATGTCATAATACTGTTAGGTTTTACTGCAAAAAAATGCACATATTTGTAATCAGCGATGTCTCACAAGTACAACAGTACCCCCCATTAACAGGTTTTATGGTGTTTTGGAAAGTTACAGGGTCAAATGAACGTTCCATTTTCAAATTGAAATTTGCCAGATTAGTAATGTTACCTTTGAGATGGTGTGGTAGCCCAGGAATGAGAATTACCCCCATAATGGCATACTATTTGAAAAAGTAGACAACCCAAGGTATTGAAAGTGGGGTATGTTTAGTCTTTTTTTTTTGTAGCCACTTAGTCACACACACTGGCCAAAGTTAGCGTTCATATTTGTTTTTGTGTGAAAAAAGCAAAAAACTAATTGGCCAGTGTTTGTGACTAAGTGGCTACTAAGAAAGACTGGACATACCCCACTTGCAATACCTTGGGTTGTCTACTTTTGCAAATGGTATGCCATCATGGGGGTAATTCTCATTCCTGGGCTACCATACGCTCTCAAAGGCAACATAACCAATCTGGCAAATTTCAATGTCAAAAAATGAAATGCAAGCCTTATATGTGACTCTCTAACTTTCCAAAACACCATAAAACCTGTACATGGGGGGTACTGTTATTCTCGGGAGACTTCACTAAACACATATATAATGACATTCTAAGTGTATTTTGTTACCTATATATATTAATAACAAAATACAGTTAGAATGAAATTACATATGAATATATCATTTATATTAAATTTTTTTAATATTTTATTTATTATTGTAATTATATGCATATATAAAATATGTCTCTCTATTTTATATATATATATATATATTATATATGTAAGGTCATTCTAAGTGTATTTTAATACTAATATATATAATATTAAAATACACTTTGTATGACGTTACATCTATCTATATATGTGTGTATGTGTGTGTATATATTTCTATTTTATTTTAAAACATGTCTAATCATTTTTTATTTTTTTTTTACTTTCCCACCAGCAGTCTTTCAGATAGTCCCCCTGCTGGCAGATCCACAGCCAGCTATAGGGGGCCATGTGATCGCTCTCAAAGAGCGATCACATGGCCCCCGGGGGAGGGCTGCATGGGCAGCCCTCCAGCAGAGGATCATGGCAGAGGTGAGTACCGCAGACCTCCAGGGGCTCAAAAGCCGTTAGCGTTTTATGCCGCCGCAACAGCTTTAAAGCCCATTTAATGTGGGACGGCATAAACGCCGTAACGGCGTTAAGGGATGAATAGTTGGCTGGCAAATACACATAACACAACAGTTTTATGTTTAGAATGCTTTGCAGACAAATGTAAACATTTTAATTATATACATTTACACAATTTTTATTTTTCACTTATTCATTCAGCTTGTACAAATCCAAAATCTTTAAATGGTGTAAAGCATTTAATTTCCCAATGTCTTTTATCTTGCAATATTTCACCGAAGTTTCTGAAATGCTAATATAAAGGCAAAAATACAACGGTTTCCTTTCATATAGTGGCAGTACCAAAAGTGGGATGTGCATTTCCTTTGGGACAAGCAAACTGCAAAATTAAACATGCAAATTTAAATAGTCCCTCCTCACTCTATAAGAGCTCAGGATTCCCAGTTCATGCAAGTATTTTTCGTGTCCCATACTGGGTTGGAGAAGCGGAACGCTAGTTTGTCAGTCTGGTGAGGTACCCATGCTGCTGTCGCGGCTAAGTCCCGCTGAGGTGACCGGGAACCCACAAAGTCTTCATGCCGAAAATACCGCTGGGACTATTTGTGGGTTTGGTTCATGCGAACGGCCGCCAGAGAGCCAGCGTTTGATTCCATTCACATGAAGGGAACGTGCCGAACCCAGGGAAAGCTGTTAATGGCGGCTGGTCAAAATAACTCTCAAATGGTGTCCCAGACCTGGACCATAGTCGGTGGGCAGAAGGCCAGCTTTTACACTACTCCAGGAGTCCATGGCAAACATACATGGGAAGGAGCGTTTGTCACAGATAATTGAGTAAATGAGTGAGCACAATTTTATACTAAGTGAGATTCCTGGCTTCTGTTTTTAGTTGTTCCCAGGTGGCTTGCCTGTTGGAAGGCAGGCTTTGAGCCTGCGCACAGCAGTGGAACGCATGCCTGGGAGGCCTTGTGTTCCACAGAAGTTCAGAACGCGCTCATGTGCAATTCCTGCAGGATATTGTCGCAAACGTAAAAGCTGTGCAGACCCCAATGACAAGGTAAATGTCATTGTGGGTCTTTTCATCTCCCCCTTGCTCCCTCTCT